CAGGGCTAGCAGGGGGCTGCGGGTCGGGAGTGAGGGGCACCGGTGGGTCTGTGTTCTGTTTATCAGACTCACCTAGAAGAGGAGATAACTGATTAGCAGAGAAATCAGGAGGGTTGCTCCGAATCCACCTGCAACACAAAGAAACCATGGGAGAGGAAAACGTTACTGCTCTAACCCTCTACACCCCCCTCCCCTCCCCGAGCTGTGGCAAGAACCCAGGAGTCCTGACTCCCAGCCCCCACTGACCTCCCAGAGACACGGATTGAACCCAGGAGTCCTGGCTCCCAGCCCCCCCCGCTCTAACCACTAGACCCCACTCCCCTCCCAGAGCCAGGGAGAGAACCCAGAAGTCCTGGCTCCCAGCCCCCCCCGCTCTAACCACTAGACCCCACTCCCCTCCCAGAGCCAGGGAGAGAACCCAGGAGTCCTGGCTCCCAGCCCCCCCTGCTCTAACCACCAGCCCCCACTGGCTCTGGGCTCCAAGCTGAGCCAGCTGCTGTACTGAGCCCCCTACCTGAGTTTCCAGGGGGGTGTCTCCAGGCACCGCTGGGGGCAGAGCGCAGCCCGTCACTCTGCTTCCTGACCAGGAGGCTCCCAGGACTGGCTTTAGGTACAAAGCAAACGTGACAGGCTCAATTCTCTGGCCGTTGAGCGGGGGGCGCTCTCCCCTGGCAGTCAGGGCTGGCCCCAATGCCCCAGGGTGGCGCTAGGGGGCGCTGGGCTACAGGGGGCGGAAACAACCAGGAACCACTGGGACAAATTCAAAGAGCTAACCCAGGGGTTCTCAACCTGGGGGTCGGGACCCCTCAGGGGGTCACGAGGTTATTACATGGGGGTGGCGAGCTGTCAGCCTCCAACCCAAACCCCGCTTTGTCTCCAGCATTTGTAATGGTGTTAAATATACAAAACAGAGGTTTGCTATGTGAAAAGGGGCACCAGGACAAAAGTTTGAGAGCCACTGCACTAAACCAAGGGAGGCTCACCTGTGTAGTGCGTCCTTCTCTCCTTACCCTGGGAACAAGGAGAATATCATCAGGATAGATGCCCCCTGCTCTAACCACTAGACCCCACTCCCCTCCC